TTGTTCCATGTTTTAACCTAATATCTTGAGGGTCGACAAATGACGGCATGATTCCGTTGCACACGTTCGTGAGCACACTAACTGTCACTTAATTAAAAGCAGAATACTCCGCCGTCACGGGGAGGACCAGGCCACATGATCTGAGAATTCGCGTCATGGGCTTTTGATAAAACTAGCCTTTTGAAGGCAGGGCAAAAGGGAAAAGGGCGGGTGTCAGTCGTGGGGCGTTTGACATCGGGTGCTTTCGTGCACCACCCGATCGTAGATAGGGCATGAATTTTCTGTGAAGCGGTCTCCTTTAGGGAACTTGGCAGTCCACTCTGATAAGTGTTCGTATGACCCTTTGCTGGATAAAACACAGATTCCAGGCAAGTAGGAACAAAAAACAGAGGGGAAAACTTTGGAGGTGCACAAATTTAGCGTAAAGAAAGATGATAGTTGCATCAGTGCGTCGTCACTCGTTTCATCAAATTATAGATTCAGATTCATTTGGCTTGAGGTATAATAAAGTGTGTATCAATGGCGTAGCCAGGAAATTTTTTCAGGGGGTGTTTTTTTTGTTTTCTTTTTTTTTGCTGAAGTTGTTTGAAAGACACACACAAAAAAAGAGAGGAAACGAAACTGCCCAAACACAATATTGTTTACTATTTTCCTGTTTCTTAGGCGACAAAAGTCCAACCTTCTTTTCCACATTTCGTTCGTCCAATATTTAAAACAGGGAAATTTAATGTTAAATGACGAAAAAACGCAGTTATTAAATATTATAATTGACTTTGAGTAAAAAAGTCCAGACAGGCTCACAAAAAAATTACGGTGCGTGCACTTGAATGCGGGACACTCGAGTATCCAATGACTGAAAACTGCGGAAAAGTGCGAGAGAATAGCGAAGTTTAGAATACGATTAAACACAAAAACTGCAATGCGCACTGGGGTAATGAGCTAGTGAAGCGTCACTCTCATTGTTCCTGCGCGGATCACATTTTTAAGAAATTATCGTGGATAGTCATGTTTTAGGTTATTTTTGTTCATCGTTGTCGTTTTACGAGAAAGTGGAAGAGAAACATACCACTTTCTATCATTTTGTGGAGTATAAACATTTAGTGGAAGCCGCCATCGGTCGATAGAAAGAAGCGAGAGTACCCTTTCGGTGCTGATTTGCATATTCCGGTGAATGTTCAAAAGCGGAGCCCCTATTAGCGGCGAGATGTTTTGGTGGCGCCCTCCTATGGTTTCCTCTCGTGACGTCATTACCTTACGAACAACAAGTTCGACAGTGTTTATAATTTGCATGGTGGAAACTTGAGATCATTGCGCTCTGAAACCAACACTGCCAACCCCGTCAAAATTGAAGTTCTTACATTGCTCTTATTTCTTCCAATGAGAAAACCTTTGCTGACGTTATAGTGACCATTCGGCCAATCGTGGAAGGCCGATCACAGCGACGCTTTTGATCGCGCACGTCGCCAGTGCTGCGTTCACCATTAAGCCCAGACTAGAAGCTCCGCTTTAAGCGCGAGCTTTCTGCCCTTCCAAAAACAAGTGTGATCGCGCAGGCACGAGCAACCAATGCACTGCCGAAGCCAGCGAGCTCGCGTTGAAGGCGAAGCGTCTGGTCTCAGCTTAGAACGGAGTAGCAAGCGCCTCTGGGACGTTGGAGCCCTCAGGTGCTTCAACGTCCCAGTCTTCGGAGTCTCGAAAGCAAATGTTCCGCTTCAGCGCTGCTAACGAGCATGGTGGCCAGGATTTGCAGCAGGTGGGTTACATTAGGATACAAGGCCTCTGGGCAAATGCAAGTTGCCTGTACCGCTGAGACGCGCTAAGCGGTGCGGCCCCTCCACATTTGTGTCAAAACCAGTACTTCTCCAGGAAGTTCATCTAACAAAACGAATGCTCCGCACAGGCTGGAGATTGGCAACCGGTGTCGTTGGCCACAACATCGCTGTCGCCTAGGGCGGACAATGCTGCCTGACATGAATCTGCTGGTTCTGTTGGAGACGTTGATGACACGCTTGAAGTTGTAGGTCAATAATCATTCTTAAATAAAAATCAAAAACTGCTTGGCTCTTGAACTCATTTTTGAAAGTCTATATACGTAGAAGAAGTTCCACGACTCACGTGCTGAAAGCAAGCATGTAAACATTACCCACTTCAGCGATTAAAGAAGTCAACTAGGTACGCCTTGAAACCAAACGATTATGAGCATTCCAAAGTTGCTTCAACAGTGCATATGCTGTCGCTTTTCTTTCTTGCTTCTTTTCTTTTTTTTCTTTTTCAATGATGGGGATGTTTTTTAGTGTGTTTTTTGCATTTTTGTTTGTGTAATATTGAAGCTAAATAAGTAGAGGCGAGTAAACCCTAAAAAAAGACAAGACAAAAAAAAACGCTAAGCTGTTAGTTATTTTGTCGTCCGGTTTTCTCCTCATTGTAGGGTTCGTAAAGTCAGAGTATTGCTATTTTGGAGTTTTGTTGCGCTGCCCTGCTTGTTCCGCTGCTCGTCGAGTCCTCGACACTCAAAGGGTAGGGGAACTTTAGTTAAGCCGCCTGCATTCCCCGAGGCGAGGCCAGCGTCCTTCGAGGTCAGGATTTCGCGGCTTTTGTGACGTCGGGAACAAAGCCATTCACACCTGCGAGTCTGAAGAAAGGCTTTGGTTACTAACATGGCTAAGTTTGGAGAGAGCTGTTCCAAGAGCCGGAGCCGGAGATGCATTTTTCCTACAGTCCACGGACAGCGTCGTCTTCGTTTTGCTTCGGTATGTTGTGGGCACAGCCCCTCGCCGTAGTGGATTGTCGAAACGAAACACACACAAGAAAATTATACTGACATTGGAAAGGGGGAAGGGGTAAAGAGGACAACCATGAAATTTCGGGAATGTTCCGACCCTTAACCCCCCCCCCCCCCCCCCCGGTCCCCTGGCTACGCCACTGGTATGCAAATATGTTCGTGGTTTCCAAATAAAATTAAGTTGGCAGAAGCGCTCCTAGTTTGCACTACTATATTTCTTTCAGGTCGGTTGTTTGTTTTTCTTGCGCTTCTAAGTATAGGTTTGTTGCGGCTGACTTCACTTCCGGCTAAACTGTAGGTCAAAACCAAGACTGTCGTCTACTATCAGTACCTTGGCGACATGTTGGAAGCAAAAAATGTTCTTCACCTGACATGAAGTGCAGTCCATAAACCCGTAGTTAGTGTACGAAGCTTTTTTGTCAAGATCATAGAGTCAACTATAAATATCTAAAGCGAAAAGTCCCATGCGTTTGGCCGCGACGGGAGGGCGATGCATAGAAGCGGACATCGGCGGCCCCATTGGGCGGTTCCTATGAGCTCATATCGCTGGCGACGCATATGCACCAAGGAGCAGCAAAAAATCACCTGTAAATTCTGCACTTTTTTTTTTTTTCGGAAACACTTTTGAATTGCGCGTTGACAAAATTAAATAAAGGTAGGCTGTACCAACTCACTTATTAAAACATCCTTGCCCATCTTCTGCCCCCCCCTCCAAAAAAAAAGAAAGAAAAAAAGAAATGGGTAGAGAAAAAAAAACACAAAAACCCTTCCCCGGTAAATGAAAAACAAACAAAGAAATCTGCGCCGAGCAGCGTCGAACATGCGCCGACCTTATAGCGGCGCCATCTGTTGACAGCCCGTGATATCGCGAGGACAAACTAACTCTCGGTACAGTTACTCTCGAGCTCGAGTGAGGGTTAAGGGAGAGTATCATCGAAAGAAGCGGTGGCGAAAGAGTAACTTTGATGAAGAGAGAGTTAAAGTAGAGTAAGTTAGGGCACTTACTCTTCTTTGACACCTTTTTTTTTAAAGTGCACGTCTGACAAAAAATATTATTTTGCATACCGACGAACACCTTAATCAGACGGCACTTCGCCGTAACAGACTTAGGCTACCAGATTAGAACTCGCCCGAACCCCTGAATACCGCCCCCTGTTACTTCATCCACACCTTTGCAGTAGTTCCAATGCAAGCTGTCGGTGGGAGATCTCGTGTGGGTCCGAAACTTCGGAGAGGGGAAAGTTTGTTACCAGGAACTGTAGCTAGAACGACCGGTGCCCGGGTGGTGTCGGTGGACATGCCGCTGGGAGAAGTACGACGTCACACGGATCAGATCCGTTCTCATGAGCTACCTGCACACCAAGCTCCAGACTACGCAAGAAACAGCGCCCGCTGTTCGTGAAGATTTATCTGAGGATCAAACACCTGAACAGTCAACCACGGATATCACGCAACAGCAAGAGCTGCGTAGAACTACCCGAGCAAGAAAACCGATAAAGTGTTATTTCCCCTAGAGGGAAGGAATGCTGTATCATCGGAAGCTGTATCATTGCCGAACAACTATATGTACAGGGTGTCACAAAAGAAAATTTACACGGAATTGTTTACCGCAAAAATAAATTAGGCATCGCCGAACGCTCATTCTCCGCCCAAAGGTAGAGCTAGAGGTCACAAACAGATGTCGAAGTTTCAGCCCGATCCGATAACTTAATAAAAAGTTATGAGTGATTTTCTAAACATTTTAACGTGAAAATGAAGCCCATTTTGCCCGTTTTTGGTTTCTGGTGCCATAAGCCACACGTTTTCGAAAACTCCGTCGGCCGCCATTTTCCCATTGAAATTTTCAGAAAATCGCTTATAACTTTTGATTAAGTTTTCAAATTGAGCTGAAACTTTGGCATCTGGTTGTGACCTCTAGCGCTACCGAGGGGTGGAGAATGAGCGTTCGGCGATGCCTAGTATATTTTTGCGGTAAAAAAGACCGTGTAAACTTTCTTTTGTGACACCCTGTACTTCGAAATCATCAACTAATGCAGTTATCATCGTCCTATTTTTCATTCTGTTCTGCACCTAATATATTCGGCCGCCTATATCAACGCGTGCCAGATACTAAATCCGGTTCACAGTCAACCACTCCTTGTCTGCCGCACGCCGTAGCATTGTCACTCTCCTTTTCTTTTTTTAGTCGAATGCATTCCGAAAGTTGCCTTTTTTTCAGGTTGGTTGCTCCGTGGGATACAAGTGATAACTGTCCAGAAAGCGGTGCAACATTAATGGCCACTGTCTGTAAACCCCGAGGTTTATCACAATGCACAAAAGAGGCTTTGATTCAGCAATACAACAATAATGCGTAAGTACTTTTTACTAAAGTTCTTAATACATCGTTTAAACTAATTAGACAACTATGAACATAGGCAATATCTTACCTGCTTACATGAACGTATGTCATATGCTTAACTCCGAAATATTATGTGTGCCTCAACTTTAATTAACACTAGGTCAAAAAAGCTCAAAAAGTCTCTTTTATTAGAATTCGGCATGAAACCTTTCTACCAAAGTGTTGGGCGTAAACGTGTCAGTTTTTAGTGCGCCTAATATTGTTCAATGTTATTGCACAACACACATCTAGCCCATTACCTCCAAAATTTGTGCTGTCGAACCCTTTGTTGCCCGATGCCTTGGCAGTAGGGGCAAATATTTTACAGCTCATTCGAGGCTCAATATTGTCGCAATCTACTACATCATTTTATCATGGCACTAAACGCTTGCGTAATCGGCCAAAAAAAAAAAGTGATGCTCTCGTCGCTGACAGCCTAATAAATACAGGGCGTTGTTTCTTCGTTATTTCTTTTTTTCTGTTTTGTTATTGGCTAATGCAGGAATCTGGTGTGTTCTAGAGTAATATTAAGGCGATTGAAACTCGCCACATCCCACTTTACTTAAGCGGTCTGTGACTACAGCATTTGATACCTTGAAATATGGTTTGTTTGTTATTCTCTATTAAAAGCCAAATTTCGCTACAGCTTCAGAAACCAGTTCGTCGGCGTCAATAATGGGGGCCAAAACACATTCGCCGATTATGTCTGAATCTTCGCCTTTCATATAAATGTTCGCCAATTGTCTACAGTTCACTTTAATGGGTTTTTCGCCTTTCTTTCGGAGATTATTAACATATTTCATGCACTGAAGATAAAGCAGCACATGCGCAAGCCTGATATCTCGTTTGATCCTAATGACGTCGAATTTCAGCAAAATTAAGTTCTTTACGCAAAGCACGCTAGACCTAAATTAACATTCGTGAAAAGGTTAAGCTTTGTGTGCATCAAAGGGGATCCACCCGCTCGTGCACTCAATCAGAAAATTTCTCTCCACAAACCAGAGTTTCAGAATTGCACGAGGCCACTAGTGGGTGCCACTCTTTGATCTCCGCCAAGTAGCACGAGACCTGTTTCTTACATCGATAGAGTTCGTCCATTTCTGAAACGGCACCATTCGGCCACGAACCCAGATATAACCATCCGCAGACAGATTGATTATTACCAAGCAGAGAACCACCACACAGTGATGGTATCCAATTTGTGAGCTGGGTTCGGCTGGTGTGCATTAATACTGCAAATGGATTGCAGCAAAGAAACAACACAAAGCTTTGCTTAGAAGCCGTGCAAATAAGTCTACCTTTACCTTCAATAGTTTTCAGCGAAATTGTGTTTATATCTTACTATCCTTCATTGCTAGCATCATTTCGCTCCCCTAAGCGCTATGAAATTATCACGGATCGATTGTAATTCCATGACAGTTCATTTTATGTACCTTTAAGGCGGCTGCGGTCAAACTAATAACATTTTACTTCATTTTCTATAGCCCTTAGAAAGTTCACTGTGAGATTCTTGACTCAGTGACTGATGCGGCAGGTAGAAACCCGCGGCACTACCACATCGTGACTCCGCGAAACGTAACGCGAATAACACTCAACGGCTCATTAATTACTCTCTAAAAAGTAATAAACTCTTCCTTTCACGGTTAATATAGTACACTGCTTCAGCTGTCAATATGACGGACATGAATGATTATACAGCTTATTTAATTGGGAATATTTAGGCACTTGTGTAGACGATTCTTGCAGATTCAACACCAAACCACACGTAGAGGTCAACGCCCTCTTAAATCTTTGGGCACGTAACCGCCAAAGCTCTAGGGGCCGTTGCTCAACACTTAAGATGAATGAACGCTATTTTTCTTTTTGCTTTATTAGATACAGTCACGTTGCTCTAATTGCGTTCTAGTTCTCTTAGAAAGAGAAACGCAATTCTTCCCTGACCCTCATAAGAGCTGTCCCCCTCACGCAGCCAATTTTTAATTTATATTGAGAGTTTGGAAAGGTCCAGTTTTAGGACAAATTCAAGGCGTCTGATGATAACAAAAGTTGCAAGCAACCACACAAGGCGAACTGCGATTAACAGCGGCAGCTGTCGAGTTGTTGAAAGAGGCTCTTAAGGAAATTTGCTTATAGCCGATGTGGTTTAAGATATTTGCCTTAGGAGCCATGCTTCGCAGAATAGTTCTAGGAGATTCCCTTTAGGACACATGTGCCTTCGTGGAATGTTTTTACAAGACGGGCCTCTTCCTCGCGAGCATGGGGGTCTTTACGCCCTTTGTGCTTACGCGCTGCCTATTGTCAGAGTATTCGGAGTCCTGCACCCTGTGCTGTTCTTGAGCCGCGGCGCTGCTCCGTCTACTCTGGTGAGCGCAGCGCAGTCGCCGTTTCCGCTCCTTCGACAGAGAGCAAATCCTGCGTGGTCTGCCGATATCTGAGAGAAAGCGGGGGACCTGAACGAGCGCCGTGTAGACACATCGGAGAACCTTCCAGAACCCCGGAACGGCGCGGCAAAAGGAGAGGCGAGAAAGAGACGGAGCAGTAGCGCGCCTTACCATAAATGACGTGTTTGTGCAGGGAGCGACAGCGATGGAAAGTCAGCAATAGCGGGGCGTCGCAATTGCTCTCTCACAACCCCGCAGTCACGTGGGTTGTTGCGTATGGACGCCGTCAGATTTTCCGGAAAAAGAGGATAACAGCTACCGCTGTAAAAGCGCGTGTTTGGCCAGTATATACCACTAAATGATTAGACAATATCGGCCCTCAGTTGTTCAAGCTCGAGATTGGGTTCATTCACTACGACCACTGACCAACGAAGATACACGAGAATTCCTCACAAGAAGTAATTACCCGTCGAATTAAGCTTCACTACCCGGTTAGCATAGACCATTATAATCATGGAATTCCGTCAGCTTCCAGCTTTGTCTACTGGGCTCTGAAACGTCCTCTGAGCCAGCGCAGTAGCTCTTTTCTGCGAAAGATCAGACAACGTGCCTGCGTCCACAGCCCAGTGACCCGACATTTTCTGTAGGAATGATAAGCGCGGGTGTTGCGTTTAGGCAACACTTCACTATAATATACGCCTATTTTAATGCGGAACCTGGTGCGGGTCTATAATCGAAAGGTAGCCTAGTGTATTGTTTAAATTGCAGTGGTCGTAAAGTTTCTAAATGTATGTGCTCCCACTATGTAGAAACAAAGACGTCTGTTGGAAAAATACCTCGAAGCCCGATGCTTCGTTCAATTGGACCCTTCCAGCGAACTACTTCGAAACAGAAAACTACTGTTCCACTCAACATACACGGAGAGTTGTCAAATGTCCAGTGAGTAGAAGCATGCCCTGCCAGGCGTAGGTTAATTAAAAATAACCTTAAACATTTACGTCAATCAATTTCTGAACATTCGACATTGCAGGAGGGCAATGAAAACTACGTTGCGAACGTGACTAAATGTTCCATGGGCTGTTGCGTAAACATTACCACAGAAGCTAGTGGTTTCAAATATTCTGTGCCGGATGGCACTCCATGCGGAGACAAAAAGGTATGTATGTCGGCACCTGAAAGATTTACGTAACACATCAAAACAGGTTAGTCGATTAGAAACGTAGATTAGAAAATAGTTGCAAACATATCAATGTTCATCAAACCATTTCAATACAGAGAACTAAGGTTAGAAAAGCTAATAGGGATGTAGCATATTAGCGATGTTACATTAAATTGTAGAATATTTCTTTCTTATAAGATTGCTTCCCCTGAAGATTTCAGGATCTGAGAGCAGGATATTGATATTGCCATCTGCTGCACATCACTTCCAACAGGGTTTTCTTGTATATAATTAGGGAATAAATAAAAAAACAAGATCTGCGTGTATTATGTTTTACAGACTTAATCTCATGTCCATATTAAATCAACATTCGTTCGGCGCAAACAAAACTCAGAATGATTCCTACTCGAAACCTTAGAAACGTTATATAGGCAACCTGTCTAAGCAGTATTTTCGCAGCGTTTTAGGTGCACAGATGAATTGTGTCAGTGTGAAAAATGACTGCTGATTGCTGTTACTACAAGCCTGAATTAGTTTGGGGCAGCATTAAAAGTTTTGGAACTATCACACAGCTCGGTTTCAGTGATGGCAAAAGCAGAGACACTGGGGCATGGCTCTGCAGAATACTTCGTGTGCACGAGCGCTCCTGCATGGAAAAGCATTATTAAAGACCACGCGCTCGAGCGCTTGCCTTTGCCAGGTTTGAAGCCAACTTCTGAAATAAAGTTTGAGTACTTTCCCAAGGAAATATGTATGACTAGTTCACTGTACGTATGCACCCTCATGCAGTCTAACTTGCGAAAATTGCTATATTTTTCAACTGATGCGATGTAAAAATTTATGTAGCTTAAAAAAAATCAAAGCACTAAAAAAAATCCAGCAATCATCGCAAGAGAGAGTAGAGGCAGGTTTGTTACCTCGCTGAATGCTGTTCATTGTTTTTCATCGTTTCTTTGCCGACCCCACTTGCAAAATATAAAGTCGTAAAATACACACTTGAAGTAATACTGCCATTACTACCAAAACAATAGCCACCAGCTTGTACAGTGTCAGAGGGATAGGTTTGACAATTTGGGACTGTTTACCGACGATGCAAGTTCACATGAGTGATTCGCGAACGTCGTTGCTGCTTTTTCACACTCACAGACTAGTACTACAAAAAGACAATTTACGAAAACTTTGATCTGTGTCAGACAACATTTAGTCATTTTAGGTGCGATTAAAACTTAATTTAACCCTACAATGCATGGTGTATCACATATGCTACAAACCAAAAATACGTTCACGTCACCGGATCTGTTGTTGGACATGAGACGAATGTATGGTGGATCAGATCTGATACAGACCGCGGGTCATCTAGTGCAGTTATGCGCTCCTAGGTGCCGCCACTGGTCTGTTGTTCTGCCGATACTCCAGTTCAGCGTTCGCGCCAATTTGCACGGGAAGTCGCCAACAACGAGAGCGTCTCGGCGCTGCATTTGGTAAGCTTGGCACCTCAAAGAAATATATTTGAGAAGCTTTCCTTTTACTTTTCACCAGACAGATGTTTATCTCCGGTTTTGTCGTCAGCAGAGTGTTTTGTACGCGAGACTAGCTTTGTGCCATATATGATATGTTATTCATTTAGGGAAAGTGTTTTGTACATTTGCTTTACTGCCTGGCATGGCCCGTTTTATTTTATAACCATGATGTACGCAGCAGTAGCTTGTACAGCGCTTTGTTTTCGACAGGGAAAACACTCTGGAATGTGGGAATATTTTGCGAGGCAATGAATATGCCCACTATTGCCTATATCAGCGTGGGCACATTGAAGGAGCCGCATGTGTCGCTTTCTCAACAGATTGCGCTGTGATGCGTCACAGATGTGTTGTTAGACGATGCATCTACCTGCACCATTCTGGAAATTACAGCATGACATATTCAGAAATTAACTGGTGCGGTCCCTTCAAAGGGCCCCCGCGCTATCGCAGTCGTTCGTTTGTTCTCTTTTCTAAACACGCGCTATAACTGTTGTTTTTGATACACAGAGCAAACATGGGGAATAGCCTCTCGGATGAAGAAATCCAAGATATTCTTTTTCCCGAGGGGAGCGGAGCAAGCGATGATTCAGATTTCGAGCTTGAAGAGGACGAAGATTCCGCCAGCCGCGACGAAGGAGTCCCAAATGTCTATCATGTCACTGAAAGCTGTCGTGCCAGAAGTGGAGAAGCATTTCAGTGGAAGAAAAAAGCGCTCTCTGTCCCCACAACGCGCACAATTTGCCGAGGAAACTCAGCTTTGCCTCCGGAGATATTGAAGCTGGAAACACCGTACCAGTTTTCTCGATATTTTTTTACGGACTACCTGATAGCATTCATCTGCGAACAGTCCTCACTCTACAGCGTGCAAGTCGACGCTGGAAAGCCAACTGAGGTCACACCAAGTGATGTCAGAAAGTTCCTGGGAATCAGCATCTACATGTCCCAGGTGCACCTGCCGAGTGTTCGAGACTACTGGGACTCAGAGCTCGGAAACAAAACATTATCTTTTATAACAGTGAACACCTTTGAAAAAGTAAGGCGGTTCTTACACTTCTGCCACAACGAAGAAATATACCCGTGTCAAGAAACACAAGACAGGCTTTTCAAGATCAGGCCAGTTTTCGGAGCCTTTGGAAGAAGGTTTCTTTCTGTTCCCATGGAAAAATGTCTCTCACTCGACGAATAAATGTGCAGCACTAAAGCCCGACATTTCTTGAAGCAGTACATGCACAGCAAACCCCACAAGTGGGGCTACAAGCTCTTTGTGCTCAGTGGCGTGTCCGGATAGGCTTATGACATGGAAATCTACACCGGTCGGGAAAACTGTCCATTACAAAGGAAACCAGCGGAGCCAGACCTCAGAGCTACTGGAAACGTTGTCGTGAGGCTCAGCAGGCAGATCCCAAGGAACGCTAACCAGCTTTATTTTGAGAATTATTACACTTCACCAAAGGTTATGGTCTACCTTGCAAAACAGGTGATCCTTTCTTTGAGCACCGTAAGGAGAAACCGCATCCCAAACTGCAAGCTCTTCACTGAAAAATAACTGAAAGGAAATGAAAGGGGGACAACAGTGGAGAATGTTGCCTGCGTTGATGGAGTTGATGTGACCGCGGTCGTCTGGAAGGACAACAAGAGTGTCATGCTCCTTTCTACGTTCGTGGGAGCGGAGCCCAACCTACAAGTGGAGCGATAGGATTGCAAGATAAAAAGCAAGGTCCAAGTTGGATGCCCCAACATAATTGTCTAGTATAACCTCCACATGGATGGGGTGGACCTCCTTGATGGACTCATGGGTCGGTACAAAATAGCCATGCGATCGAGAAAGTGGTACTTCAAGTTCTTCTATCACCTCATTGACCTCACCATGGTGAACTCCTGGATACCGGACAAGAGAAGTAGAGGCGACTCTGCCGCAACACCTCTTGCAACGTTTTGAACGGAGCTTGCCCATGCCTCGCAAAAGAGGGAGAAATAATAGCCAAACGAGGCAGATCATCAGTAGAGCTACAACGCGAAATCGAAGCAAAAAAGAAGAAAGGGCCTGCCACGCACGTTCCTCCACAAGACATCCGGCTTCACCAGCTCAGTAACTGGCCTCAGTGGGTGGACACGAGACAGCGCTGCAAACTTCCACAGTGCCCGGCGCTCACGTTTGTGAAATGCGACAACTGTGGCGTCGCTGTTTGCATCAACAAGAAAAATAATTGCTTTTATGCTTTTCATAACCGATAGTACCCGAAATGCATGGTGTATCATATATGATACACGCATTTTTTATTGATTTCAAAGGCTAAAAATAAAGCCGCAATTTTTTTATTGATTTTTCGTAGTTTATTTTGGTGCAATAGACCGAGAAATATTTTTTCAGGAATATATAAAAAGTCATGCAGTCTAGGGTTAAGTTTATAAAGACCTCATATTGTATAGGAACCAGTGCCTTTATTTGTTACGTTTAATTATATCTAAACTATTTGTTTTCCTTATACTTGTACGCCCTCCGTCAATACCTGCAAGAAACATTTTTTACTCCGCTATATACAATCCAAATACACGATTTGTTGTATACAGCTCTATAAGGTCTGCGCCAGGAACGCAGTAAACATTGGCTGCTGCTAATGGCCAGTTCAGAACCGATTGCAACTCAAGAAAATTCCAATGCAGGAACACTGATATAATTGTGCTATATAGTCTCTTCAGGACTGGTTGCCAATCGACTGAAACCTGCGGCAAATATGAAAATTATACCTTTCTGGGTTGTCAGTGTCATACTTGATGTTAAGTGTTTAGACAGTGGGAAGTGAGCCTACCCAAGATTAAGGCGGCTTTGTTACACGCTGTACAGGACAACATTAGCCAGTACAACGTACGACTGCGTACCTAGGGTATCTGACGTGCATTACGCTGGAGTTGATATCCGCACTTACGCCGATGCTCCTCGAGAATCAATGAGGTGGGGGTTGAGATTCTGCAGCACGAGTTTTTTCTTCACTTTCTCCGAGCTGTAGTTGGGTTACACTATCTTTCTTCTTTTTTTTTTCTACACAAGCTTCTTAACTGGAGCAAAGGAAAAGTGTGTAAATATATCAATTCATGTGGTTTTAATCTCCACCATTAGATGATAGAAGCTATAAAAATGCTAATGTTGACACTTTGTCGTGTTCATTCCTCATTTAAAACGCAAGAAGTCTAGTCAGTTTTGTTGGCCCACTCCCTGCGGCCAAGTCAGCTTTTCTATTATTACAAAAATAAATCTGATTTCGCTGACAGGCTAGTGAGCGATTATGCCTTAAAAAAAAAGGTGTGTGGGTACACAAAGCAGAGTCAACACAGCACCTTCTCTGGTTAAAGGACGTATTCTGTTCGTCCACCTCCTTGTGTCACGTCGTATCATGGGATTTTCAGTGATTTCTTGTGTGAAGCATAATTCATTATTCAATAATTTTAAAGGGAAGAAATAAAAGTGATGCGTTTTATTTCGAGGTTTCGTCTATGCTATTACAGTCAAAGGAACAAAAACGACAAAAGTAAAAAATAGCAGTTTTATTGAAACTTCTGTGTGTAATTTTAAAGAGGAACTTTCTGAATACCTCAGGCTCAGAGTGGCAGTCTGCGTTTCGCTAAGCCTCTTAAAGATGCACCGGCTTCCACTCTGAGGCGCAGGAAGGTTCTTTCTTAAAAGGAGAATACAGTCAATTGCAATGCGGAACATGATTATCTTCAGATTTATTTTTCTAACTAGATCACGTCATAGTGCCGTAACTGCAGCTTTCCGGTAATTGCTCAGAACTGCATCCGCCTCCTTGCTTGTGCAAAAACCTAAAAAAATTGTCACATTTTATTATTGTCATCAGTCTTGCTAATCGCCTTTCTAACACACTCCTAACCCTATTGAAAATTCTCATTTGTATGAGAAATTTCTGTGTCCAATAAACACATATGAATCATACAAGATATATAAGAACATACAAGAACCGTACAAGAATCGTATAAGAACCATATAAGAACTATATAAGATATATGAGGACATAGAAGCACTATATAAGAAACTAGTGGGAAGTTTCTCATGGGGTTCTTACATATCTTAAATAATTCTTATAAAGTTCTCATATAATTCTTATATGGTTCTTATAGTTCTTATATATCTGGTATGATTCATATGTGTTTATTGGACACAAGAAATTTTTCATACAAATGAATTTTTTTACTAGGGAACTTCCTACCCGTATTGACCTTCGAAACTTTTGCTATTTTTACACTTTAGAAGCTTGATGAAAGTTGGGTTTCTCTACTCAATTTTGCTAAACTTCGCAGCACTTCTGGCGAAACTAATTAAACTGGTCATCGCGCCAAAATTTATTTTGTTTTGCTTTATTCGCAAGACAAATTTGACGATGACGCTTGATTCGTCGTCACTGTGATTGGCGGTTCGTCGTTTCATAAATAAATTATGAACGAATACACAAAGCATATACTCAAAATGTTTTATAGGCGTCATGTAGGGTGAATTTGAAAAGCCTATTCTCAATATTAAAATCTAAACCAAAAAACAAACTGGGTCGTGTTATTTAATGTCCTCTACCGTCAGGGTAGAGGACATTAAATGCAGCCAATGCAGTGATCTTAGTTGTTGTGCTACTTCGCGAATAATTAAGGGCGTGGCTCATGGTGCAACTGGTTGTGAGTAACCAACGATAGAAAGCGGTCCTATTAAACATGGCAACTGCAGCAATACACCTTGACGACCATGTAGTAGGCCAAAAAGTAAAGTCTTAATATCGCGGGGAGAGATGGGTCCACCATTCAACCTACAGCGGAGGGTATCATCGGCAAATCGACAGAAGTGTCACCCTGCACTCGTACTCAGCAGGCGAAAGTATAAGGTCGAGAGTGGGAGGACCAGTGCAGCTCACAATAGCGGATATTAGTTCCGGCACTTCTGTCGACTTGCATGCAGATGATGCTTTGCTGCCTAGGCTAAAACGCGAAACCATTCTCGCTCGTTGGTCAAGACGAGAAACAATCCCGCCTCCCCCATTCAGCCTAAAATACAAAATTCCCAACTGAAATGAACGTGCTAATCAAAAATTCATTAGAGGCTCAGAAGCTTCTTGGTCAGATAAAGGCAGGATGACTACAACAACGATAGATGCTTCGCTGGTTTTAATATTATATTGCCATATCGCTTTCTTATTCGGCTTTACGGTTTAAGTATCGTAATTATATTTACCAACCTTTTATCTTTTTTAGATCTGCATCGCTGCGGTCTGTTCAGAATTTTTGAAGAAAGACATCGACTAGCTATGTTCCACATACAACATTTGATGAAGAAACGGTTATTATTCCCAATTAAAGACATTTCTCTGGAAAAATCCAAAAAACATCTACATAAGGTGCGCCTGTAACTTCTCTGAAACTTAATAAAGGCTACCCAAGGGGATCAAGGTTGACGTGCAGTGCTCATTTTAAAAACAGCATCAGCCATTTGCTACACGAAATTTCCGTATTATATTGCGCACAGAATCATGTCTGTTTTATATTTTTCAGAGATCTAATGTTGAAAATGTGCGATTCGACGTCGCGAGTAATCCCGCCACTTTAGAATAAAAGGTAAACATGAGAAATGACAAAGTTGTCAAAATAAAGATAAATAAACTTTTGATGGAGCGAATTTGGGCCCACATAAGGTAACGAGCAATGGCCGTTTAGCATGCCGTGCAAACAAACTCTCTCGACAATTGCACGGGTCTTTGCGCAGCCAGGTTTGCGCAGTGCAGCTGGTTCACAGATTCGTGTTTAAAGACCGACGACCAGTTCGCGCTTTCCACTTTTCGCCCGCTTCCTCCTCTCCCTCCTACCCTTTCCACCCATGCCCGCCCCTCTTGGTCCCTTCTTTCCATCCTTTGCTTCCCTCGCCCGAAGGCGTGGAGAGGAGGGTCTTCTGCCTTGCAGAATCTCGAGTCTGGTCGTCGGCCTTTAAGTGTGATTGAGTTCGCTGTGCTTGCAGTAACGGCTGGCGACGGGAGAACGCTGGAACTAAAATAACAAAAGACGTTTAGAGTCTTCTGTAATGCCGAATTAGAGCGCAGCTCTTGAGGAGAAGGAGGGGAGGGTACATAGGAGAGAGTCACCTGTGACGTTAGACATGACGTCACGTGCGACTTATCGAGGGAAAAATTTTCCCGCTAAATTTAGCGGAAAAATTTCCCACCATATTTAGCGGCAAACTTTTGCCCTACTGCCGTTGCACGTGACGTCACGTATGACGTCATTATGAGAAACGTCCCATAATGCAACGCGCGGCTACGCCCACGGCGACACCGCTCCAGCCAGAAACGGGCGCCTAAGAGCTGCGCTCTAAAAAGCCGCTCTAGCGTAAAGTTTAACAATTGTAAATGGATGCACGAAACTTTTATATAATAGTGATGGGTGTTTTCAGATAAAATCAAACAACCATGTCTGGTGACCATTTTTTAACCTTGATCAAAAAAATATTTTTTTCTGGCTGCATGCCCTTAAGAAAAAAACCAATCATTGTTTCCAAAAAAAAAAAAAGTTGTCTTTGCGAAAACGAAAATTGTAAGCTCCCTCTCAGTCACGTGCGCGTTTTGCGTATCGCGCGATGTGTACTTTTCGGGTGGCATCCCCAAAAAAAAACTGTTCTGTCTATCGGTCCAGAAATATTCACTGGAAAATTAGGGATAGGAAAAATTGACAAAAAGTATTTATCACCGAGTATTAGGCCTTTATTTTGAGAAAACAAATCGCAAACACGGCACATTGCGCAGTAACGCACTAGATTATTTTTTTTTTCTTCGTATCTATAAAAGCTAACGTCTTTAAAATTTGCCAGAGCGTTGCTCTGTATATAGCTCATTTTTATAAATATTGTTGTCCTGGTTAGCGCGAGAAATTTACAAAAATCACTCACACATAGGGGCATTTAACTAAAACGCATTGTTTTGAAAATCAATAAAAAAGTCACCCTTAATATTCCTTAAACTCTCTGAAATTCGCGTTTATAATATGTGCTATCAGAGTCTGCAAAAACATAACGCAATATTTGTGTGGCTTTTAAGTTTTAACGCGATAAACATGTGCAAATTGACGCTAACGTGGTTGCCATAAATGGGGCGTGCACATACCCGTTCTTCACAATTTCATTATTATTAAAAAGCGTGAAAATACTAGGGGTGGACATTAAAAGAAATAATGACCGCACAGAGATAGATGGTAGTTTTGAAGGGACAAGTCCTAATACATTTCCGTACAACCGACCCAAAAATGCCCATGAGCAGGAGCGATCGAGGTGCTCCACCCTGTAACATGCTTCGTGGTGCCTGTTTCAACAGCCGGCGTACAGCGTCTCCCTCTACGCCACGTAAAAGAAGCAAACACAGAATCTCTGGTGCGCCACAGTTCTGCCAAAGTAAGTGCCAGACTTCAGCCATAACTGTCGCAGTAAATTTTAATTTGGCGATTCGGGGCATGCCGAAGTTTGCCTCTTCTCTGGTCACCCACCGAAGTGCCAAATAAGTGCCGGCAAAGAAAGCCGAGATGCGTGCCCAAGTTTCGAATAGGTCTGGTGTGTCACAGAAGTGCTCTTTCACGCGTCCCAGAAGAGAATTAAATTAATAAGCTTTGGAAACACGATGGTAAGATGTCATCACCTCCGTTCCCAAGGCTCACGGCAATACTTTGCAGTATCGTGTCAGTGCCGGCCGAAAGTCGGTTCCAATATCGCTGAAATGTCCAGTTTGGCACCACCGTTTGATATCCGGCTGGCATTGCCGTACAGCTGTTTTGCCCCGGCCTAGCGTTCCCGCAATGTTGTGCGAATACTCTACGATGCGTCTGCTCCCTATTGGCCGAACGTCGTGGAAGTATGTGTACGCTGCATATCATTTGTTGCATATCCAATCACATATACGGACAAACAAAATTTTTTCGATCGCTCCCAGGAGTTTATTAAACCACTATCATTACACATAGTGTTTTCTCGACATATTTACAAAGGTCACACTTCTCTATAAAATGAAAAGCAAATTATAAAATAGAATTAACACTGTCCTCATGCCAAGCAAAACTCATCACACAAAAAACCGCGGAGATTGAGAGGAAAGCAGGACTACTATCAGAAGCATGCTTGCAGTGTACTAACTAATAAAATAGCGATATCATGTAATCCTTAATAGATGTATAATCAAACTCAGGGCACCCCACAAACACATCCGAGAAAGAAGGTAGCGCACATTCAACTGACGTCTCGTCGTCGGCGAAGAGCAGTTTTTCTCGAAGCGTGTCCAACAAACATATCACAAGAATTCCATGAACTCCGGTGAAAAAAATGGCTTTTACCAAGATAATAGAGAGTTTTAGGGAACCGGAACAAAATACGATCGATAAACAAAAACGATCGATACCTTGGATCGGGCGTGTGGACCGATCGTGTGCCCTGAAACGGCTTTGGGGGAACCGTATTTGCAGACGATCGCAGACGATCAGGTACAGGTCGCGCCCCCTGGCAACGGAAACCTGCATCCGCCTCATCGAGAAAAGACAAATTTGCGTGTTTGTACAAATCGCAGAAACTTAAGTAAATAAAGATCGCACCCTAAATATATAGAGAACCAAAAAAATAGTATACCTACTTATAGTTCGTCTCGTTTTTTTACTGGAATGAATGCGCTTCCGTAATACAAAAACTGGCGCACCACGGCGTGTCGCCCCTAGCACGGCGAAGTTCTAAAATGTTCGTCTGCTAAAGAAGCATACGAGCTTTCCGACAACAATGGCGCTCGATCTTTTTGACCATGACTTGGAGTTGGCTCTATTAAGCGAAAGCAATTTAGAAAAAGTGATTTTGTACGACTGTCTGCGCACTAAGTGTGGCGTGAGTCTCTTTTGAACTTCCCGCTTTCTATAAGCGAGGCACGCACGCGCGTGCCGTGGGGCTCGTGACTTGTGCAGGGGCACGAGGGAATAAACATTCTTTTTGGTTTGCCGTGACACGGAGTCAGTCGCATTTCTTTCGGGTGCCACCGAGCACCGATACACTAAGAGAAGGCGCTTGTTGGCGGCAAGGCATAGGGCGTTCAACTTGGCGTAGCTTTTGAGTAAACAAAAAAGTTGTGATACCAGGAATGATGTGCGGATACCACGAATGATGTGCCAGCGTATTTTTTTTTTTTCTTTCAGTTTACCAGATTTATATACTTGGGGAATAAAATAATGCCTCGACCAGGGTGTAAGATAGACAGGTGGGGAAACGGCCCATAGAAGCCTACCGCAACGCCGTGACCGGATTGTGTACTCGTCTGCTTGCGGGTACCCCCGATTTGCGACAGATGGCGCTGCGGCGAGAGGAAAAAAAAGTCGGAATCGAATTTGCATGGAACTTTATGGTAGCGTGCGCAAAATAAACCGAGAGCACAATATTCCTTCATTGAAAATCAACGAGAAATCATCTCCGTCAGTTTAGCCGGTCGCCACCGGTCGCCCACCCGGAGTGAGAGTTCACGGTGCTCCACATAGATGGCGCCACAGAAAAAGAGAAACCCGAGGGGGACACAATCCGGTCGCTCATTTGGCTCTCGTTTCCCCACCTGTCTATCTTACACCCTGGCCTCGACCGTACATGGTAACTTGTTTTCAAATAAATCATGCGTTCTCAGCGGGCAAACTTCGGTGTTTTACATCAACAAATATGATGTTTACACCAACCACGTCCTGATATGCTGAAACGTTGCCGAAAGAAAACTCGATTTGGCACAAGAACACGCTCGCGCGCGCTTATCATCAACATTCGAAGTCGTCTGCTAGCGATCCTGTCTTTTTCCCTCGAGGCCCAATGCAGGATCGAGTATTAAGAAAGCTATGGACAAATAAAACTAGACATATTAAATCTCGAAGAAAATACAAAAATAACCAAAATATACTCACTTTCTCAAGTTGATGCGGTCATTTTTCTTGTACAAAGCTAATTCAATTCAATTTTCAATTCAATTTTCAATTTAAATAAATTTTTATTTTAAGATCAACTCATACAAAATAAAGAGCTGGCCCAGAAAAGCAGCATTCTGTTTGTATGTGGGGCCAGGCGACCAAGTACAATACATGTTGTTAGAAAAAAAAAAAAAAAAAAAACACTCCGCAGCACAAAAAAAAATAAAAAATGAAAGGAACACAAAATTAGCAGCACAAATAAATACAAAAAGGAACACATTAGAGCATGAAATATAGGTGTTTATAGCCAAGTCTACTCACGCAACCATGAAATAAAAGTACGAAATATCTCCAAC